CATGTCGGCCTCGAAATGCAGCGTCTTCACTCACTGCATTGGCGACATGAGGGTCCTGCAAAATGGAATCGTCGACCCTGATCACTCGGTTCATGTGATCAGTGGCTCGAGGATTCCACTCCGCAGCTTCCACTGCCTGCGGAAGGGGATGAGGAGTTTGCTGTTGCCACTGTTGCTGTTGTTGCTGCGTTGTTGAGGAGCAGGAGGTAACCCCACGGCCTCTCCCACTTTGCTGCTGAGCGGAAGGTGCCCTGGATCCCCTGCCAAGGCCATCATGCCTATGTTTGACCCTTCTCTCCCCTCTACTTGAGGGTCCCGGTCACGCACTGCCCCCGACTAACGACTCTTGAGGATAGGGTGGCGCTGGTCCCTGCAGATGGGGTCCCATCGGTCGATCCTCGTCCCATCCCAGCAGCGAGGGCTTGCCTCTGCCTAAGGAACCCTAGATCAATATGGGGCGTGCTGGACATAGCTACCTCGAGGGCTTCCTCGGCGTCGAGAGATTGTAGGATTTGGAAGTCCGACCAGGAATCTCTCCCCGAAGTCCCCACCTCAGCGTGCGAAGGAACCAAGTCCTCTCCGACCCCGAGCTCTTCAACTTCACCCTCAACTTCAACCTCTGAAGCCCGATCAGGGTCATCTTCCAAGTTCTCCTCAACTTCTTGCCCCGTCGCCTGATCAAAGAGTTCAGACCACCGAGAAGGCTCAAAAGGCTGGGAAAGCTGTGAAAACTTTTTATACCCGGGGGTGTAATTCAGGAGGATGTGGGCAGCTCGGTCGAGCCCGTCGTCGCCAGTAAAACTCCAAACAGTGACTAAGTCAGCAAAATTCACTGACGATCGGGATGGAGGTGCTGTTTCCCGAGGGGAGATGTCTGCACAAGCAAAAAAGAGGGGAATGGGTCATGAGCATGTAGAAAATCTCAGAAACAAAATAATAAGACCCGAAGGAACCGACGAACTTGTCGTTCTCCATTCCAATGGACATAACAAGCCGTCATATTCGGGACCGACACCTCTCTGTCAAGATCCCCTAAAGATGAGTAGGTCATTCTTGTACCCCTTGTCCGAGTCAAGAAGGTGAGTTACGAGGTACATAGATGGGTCCCTGGCTTTGAGGTAGAAGTGTTGTTGAGGCGTAACTCTCAAAAGGGAATAACAAAAAAGGATATCGTTCAGCCCGACGTTTACCCCAAGACGCCTATTAAGCTCTAGGACCCCCATAATTATCCTAAAGATATTAAGACAACACTGCCCGAGAAAGAGGTAGAAATGAGAGAGGAACTGGAGAAGCAGAGGGGGCAAAGGGAACCTAATTACGCCTTCTATAATGACTTTAATATAAAAAGGCATTACATCCTCGGTTCCGAGGGTGCACAGCCGCGTCATAATTCTCTACGTCTACATTCGGTAGAACGCCGTACCTAACCCTAAATCTATTAATTTGTTCACTACCTTTTACTTTATACTTTCCTGGCCTCGAAGTACTAGCCTGAAGATTCTCGAGGGCAGGAGGACGACGAGGCATGTTCAAGAAGTGATAAAAATAGAGGGGGTTTTTCCACGAAGATCCCCAAGAAGGCTTCCCGGGGGTTGATCGCTAGATGACAACCAGAAAATACCTCCGGTAATCGGAAAACCAAAAGAGACAGAAGGGCAAAGAAATGGAGGATACTGGAACTCACCAGAGCGTAAAAAAAGGTATTTTCTGGAAAACTTGAATCGATTCCTTCCAAGAATGTTCAGAAACAAAAGATGGGTCTGCTAGCTTTAAATCTTCAGTGAAAAGGTTGGGCAGTTAACAAACAGAAGGGAAGAGGTCTCCGGCGAAGATTCAGGCAAGGGCTCTCTGGAAGAAAAGTTTAGAATGACGAAATGAGAAAAAGGGAGAGGAAGCCCATTTATATAGTACCGGTCTCATCATCGGGCGCGAAACACGAAAGGGCGCATTTAATGCGCACGACGCCCTAAGCAGGAGAAAGCGGCTAGAGGCAATGATGAAGCAGTTGGGGTTGTTGGGAAACCCTTTGTCTCCTTACGACGCATGTCCTCGGCATCAGAAGATCGAAGGCTGGGGGGCAGTTGATGGGACTTTTCTGAAATACTCCAAGATGAAGACACGTGTCCTCGGCGTCACTAAAAATCCTGTTACTGAGATCACGTACCATCGGCTTACAACTCCCTCGCCCCCGAGGTACTTGACATGGTCAAGTACGTTTTACGAACCGACACGTATCCCTTGGTCTGATATGGTACTTCGGTCGCCATGTACAGCTCCCCTCGGCTCGAGATATACCTCTCCTCGGTACCGAGATGTACCCCTGTCTAGGATGCCTTTTCTCTGCTCCAGTATAAGCTATTGATGTACAGGTCATTAGCCTAGGCTAGTCTAGGTTAGCTATCATGGTCTCGTCTTACACAATTGGTGTCAGAAGGCACAGGAAGGTAGGGTCCACAGCCAATGAGGGATGGACGCGTGGCAAATTGTGTCACATTAGAGACAGAAAGACCGTATGCCCTTGCTGACACGCGACTTGGAAAAGCAAACATTTAATTACACCATTCCCTTGATGAGACCGCATTCAATGCGGTAAGGCTCGGAATTGAAAGACAATAAATGTCTCTAAGGCTGAGCATTTATTACATCCTCCCCGAGTGGAGCTCATTGGACAGTCGGCAGCCCGATGACACAGCATTGATTGCTCGGGACTCCGAGCAGTTAAAGAAGAGAAGACATTCCTCATCAGAATCAGTGCGCACACTGTCTGTACCTAATGATCACCTACTGACAACACTGACAGCAATCATGAGCTTTTGAGGTATAAATACTCCTCGTAAAAGGCAAGACGGTATGCAACAAAAACTCTTTACTACAAAATATACTCAGTACTTTTTCTTCCTCTCCCTTTCAACAACTGACTTGATCGTCGGAGGGGATAAGCCGGAAAACACTCCGGCGCCCTTCTAACTTTTCCTTCTTTGTTCCAGGCACCTTCCTCAGCCTTCTTGGATCGTTCCATTGACCCACGAGGGTCTCTCGTTACCGTTTCAGGTTACCACCGGACTTCGCAGGCCGTCTCAGGCAGCAGGGTTGACCATTCGACTGACTCAGTCGAGTTTACCAAGGAAGAGATCTGTTCTCGTATTTATATTGTGTAAAATCTAGCACACACAAATTGGTTACTATTCAATGTGGTAAACCACAATGACCTCCTCGTGATATTTTTAATAAATATATACAGAGGAGTCTTCATGTGAAAGTTGGTAATATAATAAATATTTTATCTCTACGTGAGAGAATTAAAATTTATTATGTCAATAAAAATATGAGTCAATTTTGAACTTAGACATTAATTTTAAACAATATTAGCGTCGAGCTAGTAGTATCTCTATGTAAAAACCCGAAATCCTCAACATAAATATTGCATATGTGAAATTTATAGTTTAATTTATACCCTCAAATATCAATTAATTGATAGAAATGTGACATCTATTGCGATTTTCATCAAATTAACAGCCACGTAAGACACATGTGATAACTTTTATTGGATTATGACCCTTTTGTTTCACATATATCTCACGTGATTGTCAATCTGACGTAAATCACAATGTACGTTATGGTTGAAGTCACGTTATTACCAATTAACTTTATTGAGGGTGTAATTTGAAATAATTTATCTTTGTTAGTGCAAATTGGGAATTTTATTATCTTTCAGGGTGTAAACTATCATTTGCCCTAGTTAAAAAGAACAAAATCCTTTCACCTATCAACACAAATAGCTAGCCCAACCAGGTGAGTTCAAATACCAAATGAACATTATAAGAGTGCACAACGTATACTACAAAGGTCGGATAATTCCAGATATTGAGGGTCTACTCTATAGGGGTATACACAAATCCAACGTAGTCCTGCCTCTGAGAAATGCTTAGTCACCGAAAAAGACAACGTACAATGTACAATGCTCCGATCAATGCGAGAACTAAAAAAGATTAAATATATGCAATCTTATTTCTTTTGTACTCTTGTATAAGAAAAGATTATTTATGTGACTTTACCTTACATAATGCCCAAGTCAAAACATGCAACAAACTTACAGCTGCGTTCAACTGCATTTGCTACAAGATTCTCAATTCATGCAAGCACTCACTGGGGAATCTTGTTTAGCTTGCAATAAACATAATCACTATACTTTTTGGTCTTGTACTTTGGGGGATTCTTCTCACTAACAAGCTTATGATGTGGCCCTACATCGAGCTCTTGTGGTGGCTCCAAAAAAACTGGCCATGACATTCTTGTCTTCTCTTTGTTCACCGTTGATCTATGAAGCACAGCCTTGTACTTTCCATTACTCAGAATCTACCAACACCAAGATCATTAGTATCTATATTGCATTATGCCTATGAAGCAAGTAATGAGATAAGTGTAACTGTGTTGTGATTTTCCTTCTAAAATACAGGTATTTCTCTACCCATCTGCATTTTAAAATTGTGTCCACATTCAGTTTGTGATTGTCGCATGGGTTATAGGCGTCCAGTGAGAGAGAGAGAGAGAGAGAGAGTTGTTTTTCCCTTTTATTGTATACCATGCAAGGTCATGAATGGCATCCGTTATGCAAACATGATACAATACAACACGAAACACACAAATAAAACAACAATTAATATTACCAGGCATGAATAACTAATTCAATTAGCATTGTCGAAAAAAAATATGAGACATTTTCTTTTATCTTTTTTCGTTTCATGATTGTTGATTGTGTGAATTATTTTAGAATTTAATAATTTTCAATTTAATGTTGTCAGGCTTTGGACCAAGTAATTTTTAAATTAATGGGAGGCCCATGTTTAGTGGATTTGATTAGAGAGAAAGGGTTGGTCCTGGAGTTGGTTGGTTTGTTATTTTGCAAAATATGGCGACACGAAATGATAGTACTCAAATATAACACGATAAAACTCAATTGACACTCCTAAACTTTCTAATGGGTACTATAACAATCGAAGAGTAGGAAGATGATCGAGGATCAATTTATTTTGGTGCATGATTTTGGTGACCTTAAAAATGGAAATTTTTTGAAATTGTTTCAAAAACGTTTTGGAAATAAAATAAAAATAACTAAAAAAATTAGAAATTTTTTTCAAAAATATTTTCAAATAATGGTCGACATATACCAAAACATCTTAAAACATAACATGCCGAAAATCTTAAAATATTTTGACACACCTTGACAACACCGCGAAATATTAAAATTTTGATTCAATCATATATTTGTTTCAGTCACCTTGAAAATAGAAATGTTTAGTAATTCATTTAAATCTAGCAACTTTTGAAATTGAGTTGATGCAAACTCAAGTCCACTTACTCTAATGTTTCATGTCACACAAAATCAAAACCAAAACAATAATAATATGTGCACCACTTTGTGTGACATAATCTCAACATTTAAATATTCAGTGAATTCAACGAGATTCGTTAATCTAATGGTTTATATTGAGGTGGTGTACTGAAGTAATACAGAAAAGTGGTGTGCAGAAAAGTGGTGTGAGTAGCATTGTTGAAACCAAAATATAATATGAACACAGAATAAGACAACATGAAGTACTTCTTGAGAAAAAATTACCTCAATCTGATCACCAATATGGATGATTAGGGCATTAGGGATGTACTTGACATCAAACCAGTTGCCATCTCTGGAGACTTGGAGGCCCTGCACTTCATTTGGAACAAGAATGGTGAATGCTGACATGTCAGTGTGGGCCACCACCCCAAGGGCCAGATCAGGCCGTGGACATGGCGGGTAATAGTTTATCTTCATAAGGTAGATCAACTCATCACCACCCACTGCATTCTTTAGGTCATGCCCTCCAAGCCCTAACCCTAACGACAGGCTCCTTAGCAGCTTCTCCACCACCCTATGCAGGTACTTTGCATACTCCTCGTTGACCTCCCTGCCATCACAAAGGAATGAAAAATCAAATTTAAGGATAATGAAGCAAAAATATACTTAATCTATCATTGAAGCAGAAACAAAAAATAATTTCAACTTAATAAACATATCAACTAACATCGGCGTCATCTGATGCATAGAATTGACGACCCTCTCCCATAACTTTTATATTTTTCTACCACATCACTTGGGTTATTGGATAACAGTTACAATAACTTATAAGGTGATGTGAATAATTTTTTTGAAAAAAAATAGTGAGTCGGATGTAATTAGGGGCGAGTTACGTGGAACATGTGGCACAATGTGACTGGATAAACCTTGTGTTGTAATTAAATAAATAAAAATCTTAAGAAAAAGACAACAAGGAGGGAAGGCTTTCCAAGTCATCTATCGCATAATTTGCTTGTAACAATATATGGTATATTTATACTATAAATGAAAGAAGAAGAGACTCCTCTCCCTTTATTAGTAATTAATTACAAATTTATTGGTAATATCCCGTGTTTTTTTTATTTAACTACCTATAACTTCTTTTCTAACCACATTTAAAGTACCTAAATTTCTCTATCTAATTCCTTCTCACATCCATATATTCATCCTTCTTCCCATATGCACATATGTATGACCCCTATTAATACAGTACTATAGATTAAGGGCTTTTTTTTTGGCTACAAGGTGTTCAGGCTTGTGCCAATTACTCTCTCAAGTTTTAAGTCGGTCACCGTAACTCGAACTAGTTTAAGAACATGTCTTATAATGAATAAGAGTGATTGATCTCTAAGGAATGTAAGACGTATCAAATCTGAGATCTCTTACTTGCAAGAAGACAGACTTGACAATTGTACCACTCATAAGGATTTAAGGGACTTATTGTTAGAAATAAGCATATCAAGTGTGCTTCCTTATATATGTAAAATCATTATGTTTGATTGCAAATTCCAATACAAAATTCTACCTGTTATGCAATGTGAAGATGCATCAAACAAACAATAACAAGAAATTTGATCATGGTGAAACAACCCATTCTTTACACACAAAACCATATTTTTTCGATCTAGATGCACTCTCGTACACTTTTAGTATCTTTTAATGTCAGATTAGCAAGCTTATATTGATAAGGGGTCCACCTATAGTGGATTTCATTTGAATTGATGGACAACCTATCACTGCTAAATATTGAGAGAAAATGTAATAAAGGGCATCCAAATCCATATTTTTTTCTAGTTCCGGACCTGTAGGAAGGAGGATTTTTAGGCCAGAACTGGTCGTTAATAGCTGAAGGAGGCCATATCTTATGGAACAAGTGATCAACCCAACCTTTCTTGCCTTCAACTTCTTTTTGTAGCTTTGTTCCATAGCCTTCCACACTCTTAGACCCTGGAGGCTTGGCATAAACTTCTTTCTCCTCTTGTGGTAGCTCAAAAAACTCCTTCCCAGCTTTTTGTAGTTTGCTGATAACATCACTTGGTATGTCATGGTTCACAATTTGGAACAAACCCCATTCGGAACTCCCATCAGCAATCAATTGCACAAGCTTTTCCTCATCTTGGTCTCCAAAATCGATGACCGGTACTTCAAGGTTCTGCTCGTGGTATGTCGTGAGTCCCGGCTGTTCGCTCTCCGGCCTGATGAACTCAGGTGGTATGGTTTCTGAGGATAAGGAATCGTAGGCGATAGCTTGAACTCTCTGTACTTCCATTTTATTTTAAGGACTAGTAATTTTAATTTTTTTTTGAAAAAAAAAACTTCACCGAAATTTTCAAACATCTCTAAATGAATGCGTCTTCGTAGAGAGATTCTTGTGGCTAACCATAAATTTATCTTCACGCTAAGGGGATGAGAGAGAAAAGAGGAAGCTAAGAAGGAAGAAATCCAATCCTTCCTTTTGGAGGGTGTGGTTGTGCATGGAGCCTATAGTAACCCCTTTTGACCGAAATTAGCTCCAACTAAAAAGAGTAAATATTCGTTATGCTATGTCAGCATTATGTAATCATCCAATAAAAAAAATAACAAAATAGATAAAAATAGAATCCACTTTCTACTTCCTATCATAAAGGTGGTTATGTATTTCATATCATAAAGGTGGTTATGTATTTCATATGAGTTTTAGTAAAACTCTCTGCTGACTTGTTTACATGTTAGTCCTATTAGTAGACAATTACACCACGTGACATTATTTGTATGGTGTAACGATTATACCCACTATTTTTTCCTATTAAACATCACACAAATATGATTACTTTAAGTATAATTTTTTATGCACCAAATTTATACACCAAAACTTGCACCAAATCAATTGCAACCGTTGGATCAATGATGAAATCTTCTGATCCAACGACCGTAAGTGATTTGAAGTAAATTTTGGTTTACATTTTTTGTGTACATAGCATTGTTCTTAGACAAATAGTCCCATACTTGAAGTGGGCAAAGCTCATTTTTTTTTTACGAGTGACAGTTTTTAATATGATATGTTAACACGAGATGAACCCAACACAAAATTCTCACGTTAAAGTTGACTAATATTTGACATCAATTCAAAAAATAATTTTACCTGTTAATGTCAAAGACAAATTACTTAATTTTGACACAATAAACTATTTAATAGATATTGTATGAAAAAAGATATTGCATAATCCTGGTAGAATAAAATCATTTTTTACTTGATTTTGAAAACACATGGATGGAATGCATGGCATTTGCGATGATGCGTTTAGTTGAGAGGAGTAAATCCTAATTCTAACACGATAAACAATAGGTCTAGTTAGTGCCAATACATTTAACACGATTACTTTCATAGATCGAATTAGGGTTGAACAATATTAAATACGAAATCCGAAATAACAGGAACAGAACATCTCCAATCCTCCACATCCCAGTGAATACAAAGGTAATAATAGCAGAGTGAATGACAAAAAAAAAATATAAATATATATATATATATATATATATATCTTGTGCACGGACATGACAAGCTTTAGCGTAAGATTACTGTCTCACAAACTTCCACATTTTAATATTCTTAGAATTAGTCTGATATATTCAGGTAAGGTAAGATTATACATCTCAAGACATTGATACAGATGTAAGAGAGAAACCTTCAGCTCTTCAACCACAGCAGGAGCCACAAGCAGGAAGAGAACCTGGAAATTTGACAAACATTTCTCAGTTTTTTAACAAATCAAAAAATATATTTATTTATATTAGATGCACAAATCAATAGAGAATACAAAATCATACTGTGGTCAATGCCTCGAACATTGTCCAAGCCACGGGGAGGTCCACGGGGACCACCGCCGTATGGACCACTACCGGGACCTCCCGGACCACCACCATCCCATTTCTTGTTGGCACCTGAACCTTTTTTGTATGCATCTGATTTTTCCATCTGTAGAAGGCATAAAGAAAATAAGAACACGAAATAAAAAGTGGAGACATTAAAGATAAGGAAAATCCTCGAAAATTACCGAAAACATTGTCGTGAAAAACACGCCAATGAAGTTCACAATTGCCCAAAAGAAATCAGTGACTGTTCTCATGCGCCATATTGATCGCTTAGATTTCACAACACCTGAGAAAACAAAATAGATACAAATTCAAAAGGTAAATTCAACACATGAACAAGCATAGCTAAACGCATACTGTATTTCCACCAGAGTTTTTCTTGAGAGTTGTCAAATACAGCACATACATCTATTGAATTGCATTTGTTATCACTTATGAAATAACCACAGAAAGATCATTTAGTAATGCAGAAGTTGCCCATAATTTTTCTACCCTTCAAATCCTGGGGTTGGGGTGGATCAGAAAAATGCACTTCAAACCCTCATTTTCAACCAATAAAAAACAGCATAAGAGGCAAGCACATCTTCTAAAACACATTACACTAGAACTTGTTCTCCACGAGTATCACATCACGTCACGTCACTAATATGCATCCAAACACCGCCACTAATAATGTGGTAGCAAGATGCAAAAATAAAAACAAGGACCAGTATGGACAGAATGCAATAAAAGTTGCTGAAACATACCTGGAATGTGTAGCAGCACCAAGAAACAGAAAAGAAGTTTTTTTATGTGAAATGAAAGCTAAAGGTGACAGCTTGTGAATTGAGGCATATAAGCCTCTGTCAACAGGGCAGAGCTAAAGAATTTTTGTCGTGAGGGCAACTTAAAACTCATTAATAATTTTCTTAAAAAAACCCCATTAAAGATGCAATTCTTATGCCCAACCGATGTGCAACAAGAGCCGGAAAAAAAAACTCAGCATAAAAAATCTCTTTTACTCCTACAAATACAAGATATTATTCACAAGCAGAGTTAACTTGGTCAGATTAATCCAAACCTAGCCTGGAAAACTCAAAAATTAGGAGGCGATCTTCATTACGGTTGAGCTTGGGCAAAAAATACCCAACCCAATATAAATTTGAACAATATCTGAGTTAGGTGTCATGTTGATAGATTTAACCCGAACCTGTCCAGATTTAATGATCTTGGGTTCCACCCGTTGTATATCTATAATACATCTAAAGGCCACTAATGTTCTCAAATAAACTCATTTAAAGGCCACTAATGTTCCTCTCAAAACCACTTATTACACCGTGCCTTCAGGCACGGATTATCCCTAATATACCATATAACATGTATTTTCAAAGTTCAGCCAACCTCCCTACCTCATTTACAAAGAAGAGACTCTTTCACCCAATTCTCTATCCCGCTTTTTCCTATTCTTCCCCCTTTCTCTCTCTCACTTTTCTGAGCACTTTGTGTTCTCTTTACTTCTCACTCCCCCTTTATTCCATCTTTTCCCTCAGTCAGGCTAAGGTTCCATCAAAGGCGGCTATCCTTCTTCCTCCTTTTCTCTTCTCCACCACTCTCTATAATGTTTTTGGCTGCTTTACAGCTGTACATCTCTATCTTTGAGGTTGTGGTGGTTGTGATGGTGGGTTTGGATGAGGCAGGCGGTGGCACTGCATTTGTTTTGTAAACTATAAAACTACCGGTCAAATTTATACCAGAGGAAATTCTAAAAAACTTTAAAATTATCAAATATACCCAAACATTGAAAATTACAATGGGAGCAATTGCCCTCACATAAACCCACCCCTGAGCCTCAATGTGCAAGTAAAGCCTATCACAGCGAAATAAATGCTAAGAAGCAATAAAAAATTGCCTAGGTAACAAAATTAATCCTTTTTGCATATAAGCATAAACACTGAATAACAATCCACGTTGCAGATACCGAATCCCAAAGATTGATTCCCAAAAAAAGGTCCATATGAAATCATAATATCCTCAAGTGAAGTTCAAAAGCATTTCAAAAGAGTAACCCGTGGCGTGAAGTATAATCCAATCAAAGAATCATGCTAGCAAATATGATAAGGTAACACAATATGAAGGCATATCTAGGCAAATCATTTCTTCCATCCTGTCCAAGCATAACATTGCATTTGGGTTGCAATACCAGTAATACGAACCTTACCGTTGCATATTAAGGTCCTACTAGTGTAGCCTTGCCCTAAAGTTAGCCTTGAAGCCCCCATAGTAAAGCTAAAAAAGAATATTAGTCTAAAGAAGCAAACCCAAAAGAAAAGGTGGAAGAAAAATTAATAAATAAATACACTACCACCACCACGGAAAAACAAGACCACCCTGTTGGGGGTGAGCCTAATATTAATAACAGCTCTAGGATTATAGACATCTTGGAGCGAAGGGCAGAGCACAAAAAGTTTTATTTCTAGAGATGGAGGAAAAAAAATAGTAAGCGGGGTTCTGTTTATCTCTTTCCTCCCAGTACCTCCTAATAATACTCTAGCAACCAGAAAAAACATAGTGCCCCGCAACAATCATAGAAATTGATGTCCACTTTCAAAGTCCAAATTCCATTGTACAGGAATTAAGCAGAACCTAGAGCTTAAATAAGTTCAGAGAGGCAGTATTGTTGGCTTTGAGCATTGGTGGTGAAACAAAAAGTGGTAATTTCATGGCTGGGGGATGGTTGTTAAAGGTGGAATGCACAGTGGTGGAATTTCAAGACGGAAAGAAGGAGAATTGGTGGCAGAAGTGGTGCAAAAACTTGGTAGGTAGCTGAAAGGGGGGGGGGGGGGGGGGGGGGGGGGGGGAATAAGATGATTGGTTAAGGGATTTCAATATTCTTGTTCCACTCAAGGGAATAGGTGTAATTTCTTAACTTCCGCCAGCAGGATTAATATATATTGGAATCAACAGTGCAAGGGGGTCATGCCAAAGATTTATTTCAAAGGAGCTAAGCAAAAGAGGTGAAAGAATGAGCTTTCTGAAACTCAAAGAAGCCAAATGAAGATAAATCAAGATGTCATCATGAAGACAGCAACTACAGTCAACAATACCAGGCTAGGTCAGGCCTAATCTTATTCGAAATGAGCATAGACTTAGCATACAATCCTTAATAATATGCTCTTTAAGAATTCTTGAAACTTTCCAGCCATGAAGCCGACAAGCTTAACACCCAATTCAGCAAAATTTAAATCCCACACTGAATAGTAACCCATTTCTGTATGTACATATTTAGAAAGCACCACAACAAAGCAAGGCAATGAAATCTTGTGAAACTTGAACGGCATTTTCATGGGAAAAATGCTTGACCCATCAAACATCAATTTACCAACGAATTGGCCTGGGACACATTCGATCAACGAAATGGGCCTCTTTCTTTGACCGAATCTATTAATTTCATCATTCAAAATTACCCAGATTGGGGATAAAATTTGTGTTTCTTGAGTGCATTTAAGGGCAAAAACATGAAGAATAAGCAGCTTGGCGATGATGGAGATATGTCATATTACAAATTCTGTGACTGTAATGGGGAGATTAAGAGTCTGTTAGAATATCTTGGCCATTGACATCCACAGCTTGCTTGGAGATTAAGATTGACACAAACTTTTTAAAGTACACATTGAAGGGCTACACACAGAATTGATACGTATAACAGAATGGAATCAATTAGGATCATTCTCATGCTCATTGAATAAAGATTGTGTGAGATGGCTGAAGGATATGATTTCTGTTGCTGTATGTTGAACATCAAGGATGTATATTTGAGGAAATACAGAAAAGATGTGCATTGTATATGGATTAAACTGGACAATAGCAGGTTCGGGGAGTTTGCAAGAGTTACTTAGATGATGAATAGTGGTAGAAGAAGGGGGTTGATTATTCCAAAAGGTATTGAAGGAAGGGGATGGGAGGCTTTCCAATTGTTGGAGGATGTTATTCATAATGGTTGTTACCCTTTGTCAAAGGAGAAGGGAAACAGGAGAAGGGAAACAAGAGATGGGAGGATTGGCAAACGCGGGGACGAGGTTCAACTAAAATAAGAAAAAGGATGGAGATGTGTTGTGACAGTTTATTCCTGTTCTGAAAGGAAATACAGAACTCTTTGTTTAAGGCTCTGAAAATGAACATTAGCTTGGGATCTTTTCATGATGATAAAGTCATATTATTCATTGAAGATATTTTACAGGCAGAGAGGATTTGTAAGATTGAAAGAATTCATCTACAAGGCTCTGGTAAAGTGATGTTTCGTGGTGGTGTCATGAATCCAATGCTACCAGAAGTTGAAAGTAATTTTTGGGAGGGTCCAGTTCACATTATGTTTTCTCAAAATCTATCGTCAACAGAAAACCCAACTTTTTTACCCCATACTGGTCAACAACTTCATTAGTAACAAGTGCCGCATCCATAGTCTATCTCCCCCTCACAAAAAACCCCCGACATTTTGTGATTGTGTCACTCAAGCAGCCCCTAAGCCTAATAGAAGAACTTTAGCAGTAAACTTATACAAATTTGTAACCAAACTAATAGGTCCAAAGTCCTTCAATTTAATGGAATTAACTTTTTTCAAAATGAGACATAAATTTAGCAGTTATCACTCCATTGATCACGCCCTTATAAAAAAAACTCCTCAAAAACCTTCATCAAATTATTTTTCATCTTATCCCAACAAACTTGATAAATTCTCATAGTGAATCCATATGGGCCTGGAGTCTTTCTCTACTACACTAAAAAACAAGTCTCCTTTCTTCCTTTATCTCAAAAGATCTCCACCCATCCTGTTATTCTTCCATCAATAGGGCTCCACTCAAGACCCCTCAGTAGGTCTAACTTGGTTTTTGCAATGACTTATTTTCTTCTTTTTTTATAATTGATAAATTCTTGTCTTATCGAATAAAAACAAAGCAATCTGATTAGAATCTGGGTTCAAAATCCATCTAACAATCTCAACTAAATAAAATTGAAAGCCGAAGGCTATTCTACATCATTCGATAACACTTTAAAGGCATCACAAATGGATTGCAAAGTATCATCTTCCAGCCACAAAAATTGGGAATTCGGAATCAACAAATTCTCAGGTGGGTAAGATCCAAATATATCTAGGAACCCAGTTGCTAATTTAATAAGGTCAACTTTTACAAGCCCCAAGCTCCAAACTACACCCGTGAAACCTGATTGCAAATCAAATTGGTCGAAGTATCCAAACGCTATGCCCCTTACAACACACGAACTATATTCTTATTGACGGCACAAGTCAAATTTGAATATGATCAATACTATAATGACAAATTTAGTATATTTAAATTCCAAGATCACCATAAAAACAAATAGTATTATCAAATTTACGCAATGAGAACAATAAAAAGCAAAATCCAACTACTATTCAAGCGAATTTAAAAAATCTAAATTCTCAAAGATTTCAAAGTTCGAAACATAAATGATCAGATTGAATTTCTCAGAGAGAGAGAGAGAGAAAGTGCGCACCTCTCTCGACGTAAGCCATGGGAGCTCTCCGCACTCGTCCAAAGTCTCCTTGGGTACTCTCGTCAAAAGAAATAAATATCATAAGAAGTAAAGATTGTATGTGAACGAGTCCACTTTTTCTTGACATCAAACCACTAAAATATAGCCGTTTAAGTAGGTCAAAGTCACGACAAGGCTTCGAAGGGTCTGGGCACGTAACTTCTGCCTTCTCATTGCAGGATGTATTGTAACACTTTATACCCTTTTTCACTCAATAAAAACTTATAGCCAGCTGGCCAATTTACGTGTATTCTCCATTTTGATTGGCTATTTGAATTTATCTATGAAAGACCGCCATTCAGGTGTCAACACATTTGGATCCCCTATCAAAAAAAAAAAAATCGGTTGCATGATTTCAATTTTTATTCAATAAAAATTTTGTGAAAATTTTATTTTAATATTGTACATTTATTTTAATATTTTTAAAATTAATAACTGCAAATCAATCGAGCTAAAAGTTACAGCTCTCAAACAACTTCGGTACGGTACCCACATTTTTTTTTTGTGGGTTCCCTGGAGTTTTTTATTATTTTTAAAATAATAGCTAGAAATCAATCAAGCTAAATTTGACCACCCTCAAACAACTTCATACCCAAAGTTTTTTTTTTTTTTTTAGAGTAATGTTATATAAACTTAAAAAAATAGGTTTGATGATCACAACCATTGAATAGATAGTAGGTCCCAATAAATACTGGAATCCACGGTAAAATCAATAGTTGTAATTATCGAGTCTAAGTCCATGTAACATTACTCTTTTTTTTTGGATTCCTTAGAGTTATTCACACAAAAAAATGTGTTGACATAACACATAGAAGTAGGCATATCAAAATGCGACACGACATGACTAATCAATATGAATTTATAAGGAATTAAGCAGATTTGAGTGAAGTTTTAACATGTGCAAGTAGAGGTGGTAAATTGGTGGGTTGGATTATTTCAATATAGGTCAGGTGTAAAACAAATCTAATCTATTTTCAATCTGCTTAATAATCGGGTTATAATCAATTGGATTATAACAAATTAGGTTAAACTCATTAACCTATAAAATAATTAAACTCTTAATATGAACACATACTAATATATTAAAA